ACAGCTACAGACAGCACTGAGCACAGCCAGTACTCATCCTACCGGACCCCGAGAAGGACTACGTAGTTGAAGCAGACGCTAGTGACCAAGCAGTCGGAGCAGTACTGATGCAGGATCACAGGGACGGTTTACAGCCTATCGCCTACCTCAGTAAAAAGCTACACGGAGCAGAACTGAACTACCCCATACACGACAAGGAAGCCTTAGCCATAGTCGTAGCCTTCAAGGCGTGGAGGTGTTACCTTGAGGGAGCCAAGACCACAGTCTACACTGACCACTGCAGTCTTAAATACCTGAAGTCGCAGCCGACGCTCTCACGACGACAGGTGCGGTGGGTGGATTTCTTGGAGACCCACTTCCACTACGACATCGTCTACAAACCCGGGCTCCACAACAAAGCAGACGCGTTGAGCCGCCCCGGTCATGTAGCAGGCATCCAGCTTGACGGGATGAACCCTCTACTCAAGGGTCTATTCCAACATGGGTACTCCGTGGACGGCGAGAAAACAACGGCAGAGAAACAGAAGCTGTTACAGTGGGAGAAAGACTTAGCGGTAAGGAAGGGTTCAGGAAAGATTTGGGTACCGAACTTCGCCCCACTACGGCAGATCCTGTTGGAGGAGTTTCATGACTACCTTACGCGGGCCATTTCTGGAGTAACAAGACGTTAGTGGGAATAGCAAAGTATTACAACTGGCCTCGGATGGCAGCAGACGTGCAGCAGTTCGTCACCTCCTGCGACACGTGCCAACGGATGAAGAGTAGCAAGCAGAAAAAGGCAGGGTTACTTCAGCCTCTACCCGTACTGGAGCAGCCATGGCAAGTCGTTAGCCTCGACTTCATCACAGGACTTCCCTCGACCTCACGGGGACACGATTCCATCCTCGTAGTCATCGACAAGTTCTCCAAAATGGGTCACTTCATACCGACCAACGCCACAGCTACAGCTGAAGCAACGGCTCGAAACTTCTTCGACTGCATCATCACTGTCCACGGCATTCCCGCTATACTCTTCTCATACAAAGACCCAAAATTCACGAGTATGTTCTGGAAGGAGCTTATGGGACTGTTGGGGACTAAGCTTGCGATGTCTTCAGCATACCATCCCCAGACTGACGAACAAACAGAGCGACTCAATCAGGTGGTTGAACAGTTACTGCGCACAGCTTGCAAAGACGACATCAGCCACTGGGACACACAGTTACCGACCTTGGAGTTCGCTTACAACAACGCCTCGCATGCGGCCACAGGGAAAACTCCTTTCTTCCTGTGTTACGGACGGGAACCACTCACACCACAGCAGCCAACCACACCGGCACACGTCCAAGCCACACACGACTTCGTCACCACCATGCAACAGCTATGGGCGACGACTCAGCGACGTCTCACCACGATGCACCCAGAAGCAGTATGCTGATCGTCAGCGACGAGATCACTTAGTAGCAGTCGGAGATCAGGTGCTTCTTGACACGCGCAACTTGAACCTGTCTCACCTCCCATCCAAACTCCGGCCTCGCTTCTGTGGTCCATTCCGCTTGCGCTTACCAGATACGTGGAAGCTTCACAACGCTTTCCATGTTCAGCTACTGAAGCCCTACAAGGACCCCAACCAACAGTTCCAAGGACGGCAGCTACCGCCACCACTGCCTGTACTTGTGCAGGATGAACCAGAGTACGAGATCGAGCGCGTTCTCACTCATCGGTGCCACGACGGCAAGACCCTCGAGTTCCTGATACGCTGGAAGGGATACGACCCCACTGAGGACAGTTGGGTTGCAGAAGCTGATATGGGCAACGCACGCTGTGCTCTCAAGGACTATCTTGTCAAGCAGGGTGTCTCTCACGCCACCCAGCTTTGAGGGGGGGACGTGTGAGAGTACGTCGGCTTATGCTTGTTATTCATGCTTGCTTTTATTCCCTTACGCTATTTCTAGCTTAGGTTTATATTCTGCATGCATGAATTGCTTGAATTCCTAGGTTCGTTGCTTTACTATAGTTATTATAGTTATAGGCACCGAACCAGGTTACGTGTACCGAACTCAAGCTATTCGGTTGCCACCGAATTGCTTTCTACCGAGTTCGGGAAGGTTCTGTTCGGGACGCTTCGCGACCCTCGGAACATTCGCGTAACACCTGGGTTACCTGCCTTGTGTCAAGCCTATATATAGCCTCGTGTTGTACCCAGGTGATCATTCAATTCAAACTCTCTTTTCTGAGCTCGATCCTAGATCCTCACAACTAGGGCCTTGAGGCGTCGCCCGTTGCAGATCACCTCGAGGAGTAGTGGTTTCTGATGCGGCTCCGAGTAGCTGTAGATGGTGTTGGTAATAGGATCATAGGGTAGATCAAATGTATCCTCCCTAGGCATGCATACATGCATGGCCGGATGGAACAAGAGAATTGACGAGGCTATGATAATCAATGCTCAATCCCCCCCCTCGCAACAAAGCCCATCGACCAATGCAGCAAAGGTCGGGTGGCTTCCCGACTCCTAAGTATAAGTGCGTTTATTGGCATGCGGCTATGGGGCTGAACACTGGAGCATGTTCTGTGCTGTTTTGAGTAGAATTGAGATACTGGAATGCAGTCAGCCCAGCAATGTTACGGGGTGCACTTGATGCAGCAATGTTACGTGGCAATCTTCCTCACTCCATGGTTTCTTGCCATCTTTGCAGGCAGTCTCCACAGACCAAATCCCCTCGCTTTGCCAGCCGACAATGACAGCTTTACTGAGATGGCGAACCAGTGGTCCGTAATCCTCCTCGGGACATACGTGTGGAAGGCTCCACTGACAGCGCTCAGCATGGACACCGATACCAGCGCACGGTCAATTCTCGAGCTCTCCTTCTCCCACCGCGAATAGAAGGTAAACTCTTTCTTGACTGGATGCAACACCCTGATAGCATCTTGCAGATACAGATTTGCTCAACCGTTCACATCCTCTTGTTAAAGTAAGGAAAGCCATGGATGGCGAGAGGCTTTGGTGAGGTTGAAGAAGTTGAACTAGGAGGAGAATGTCGAGATACAAAAGAGAGAGGGTTGGAAACCCTAATTGAACCTAGGGTGTGTTCGGTTTGTTCTAACAATTATGAAATGAACCTAAAATGAACCTGAGTGCGTAACTCGCTCTAAGCCCAGAGAAATAACAATATAAGAACACCAAAATAAAGGCCAGAGCGAGCTCTAGCCTACTCCAACACACCCCCAGGCTAGGTGAAGCTCTGGAGCAAAACACCTAGCGAACCGGCACACCCCCAGAAGTGGAGAGACGCGTGAGCCCAAGCTCGCGCACGTAGAAACGGTGCGGTGCACGCAGGAGGGCCTTGGTGAAAATGTCTGCAAGGTTGGCAGTAGCGTCCACCTTGCGAAGGCGTAAGAAGCCAGACTGCACCAGCTCACGCACAAAGAAATAGCGGACCTCGATATGCTTGCTGCGGGCGTGATAGACAGGATTTTCAGTGAGATGGATCATGCTCGCACTGTCACAGGAGAGCGTCACAGAGGACTGAGAGTGACCAAGCTCAGCAAGGAGAAAGGAGAGCCAACGAGCTTCCTGAGCCGCCAATGTGCCTGCGTACAACTCAGCCTCGCAGGTGGAAAGGCAGACAGAGGATGAGCGAGTGGAGCGCCAGCTGATGAGACCACTGCCAAGAGTAAAACCATAGCCCTGAGATGAGCGACGATCAGGGCGAGAGTCAGCGTAGGAAGAGTCACTGTAGCCGGAGAGAACGGGAGGAATAGAGCCACCAAGAGTGAGAGCAAGGTCAGAGGTGGCACGCAGATAGCGCAAGACGCGCTTAGCAGCTGCCCAGTGCACGTCAGTGTGGCGGCCCAGACCAACAAAGCGAGAGAGAACACTGAGGGGATAAGCAAGGTCGGGGCGAGTGCACATCATAGCATACATGAGAGATCCAACGAGCTCAGGATAAGGCCGCAGCTCTGAGGAGGGAGCAGGGACGGCAGGGGCAGTAAGCTGATGGTTAGCGGGAAGAGGGGTGGAGACCGGCTTGGCTTGCGACATCTCAAACCGCTGGAGGATGGACTGAATGTAGAAAGACTGGGAGAGAGAGATGGTACGAGCAGCACGATCACGACGGATCTCCATGCCGAGGTAGTGACGAAGCTCGCCAAGATCCTTGCACATGAGACGCGCCTGCAGGGCTTTCTTGACAGCTGCAAGATCGGTTGAGTCCTCAGCAAGCAGCACCAAATCATCCACGTAGGCAAGGATGTAAAGCCTGTGGGGGGATGTGCGAATGAAAAGACTGGGGTCGGAAGTGGAGGTAGAGAAGCCAAGAGAGTGAAGAGTGGAGGCGAGCTTGGCGTGCCACTCGCGCGGGGCCTGTTTAAGGCCATACACAGGTCGCTTTAATTCCCAAACAGTGCCTGGAGGGAAAGGGCGAGGAAAACCAGCGGGGCGCTCAAGGAATATGCGCTCATGCAGCTCGCCCTGGAGGAAAGCATTGGAAACGTCCATGGAGTGGATCTCCCAATTCCAGCGAGCGCCTAAGTCAAGAAGGAGGCGGAGAGTGGGGAGACGGGCTGTGGGGGAGTAAGTGGCAAAGTAGTCAATGCCTTCACGCTGAGTGAAGCCCTTGGCACAGTAGCGGGCCTTGAAGACAGGAAGTTCGCCGGGCAGCTGCTTGACACGGAAGACCCATTTGCCTTTAACAATAGTGGCGCCAGGGGGGGGGACAGAGTCAATGTAGGAATTGGTTCTGGTAAATGCCTCGCACTCAGCAATGATGGCAGTCATCCATTCAGTGGCATGAAAGCCCGACACAGCCTCGGAGTAGGACAGAGGGGTGGGAATGGCAGCGGTGTCAACAGAAAGAAGAGTGGGAGAATTGCTAAAGTCACCGACGGTGACACACAGAAGAGGAGAAACAGGATGAATGTTGAAGAGCTCCTCAAAGCGATCTTCAAGAAGATTAACATTCTGGGGTGGAGAAAGACGAGTGAAAAGAGCAGAGTGTTGAAAGTTAGAAAGCGCGCGAGTCATGGAGCGAGTAAGGCGCGGGGAAGGGGGGGGAATGGGAACAGGTGAAGGAGGTGGAGAGGAAGATGGAGGTGAGGAAGGGACGGGAGCCGAAGAGGAAGAGGCGGGTGGGGAGGCGCCAGAGATGATGTCGGAAGGGGGGGCAGTAGAGGCTGGCGCGGGTGGAGGGGCGGGAAGGGGTGGGAGAAGGGGGGGGGGAGGAGGGGAGGGAATGACAGACGACGGCTGATCGAAATCAGACCAGCGAAGAGAGGGGACAGGAGGGGCGGGTGGGGGGGAATGGAATGGGGATCGAGTCTCATCGAAAATAACGTCCTGGCTGCGGATGAGCTGGTGAGAGGAAGGGGCATAGAAAAGGTAGCCAGGACAGTCAGAGTTTATGCCAAGGAAGGCACAGAGTTGAGTCTTGGGAGCGAGTTTCCCACCCTGACGGGACCGGTCTGCTGGATTGACAAGAACATGGGCGACACACCCCCAGACCCGAAGAGAGCGAACAGAGGGCTGGCGGCCAGTCCAAAGCTGGAAAGGGGTGGTACTAGGGCGATGAGGATGAGGGCGGAGGTTAGAGAGCAGAGCGGCATGGAGGAGAGCATAGCTCCAAAGAGAGTGGGGAGCAGAAGCATGGGTGAGAAGGCAGCGAGTAATTTCCATGAGAGTGCGATTGCGACGCTCAGCAACCCCATTCTGTTCTGGGGAGTGAGGAAGGGTGGAGGTCTGGCGAATGCCATGAGAAGCACAGTAAGAGGAGAGAGAGTGATGAAAGAATTCGCCACCACCATCTGAGTGGAAGCGCGCGACAGGACGCTGAAAGCGCAGACGAGCCTGCTCAGCCCAGCGAATGATCAGGGAAGGGGCGTCAGATTTGGCACGGAGGGGATAGACAGTGGCAAATCGTGAGTGATCATCAACCAAAAGCAGAAAGTATCGATGACCCTGGCGAGAAGCAGTAGGTGAAGGACCCCAGAGATCCATATGAACAAGGTCAAGGGGTTGGGGAGAGGCAGAGGGAGAAGAGGGATGGGGTGACTGGGATAGCTTGGCCTGGACACATGGGGTGCATGGAGGAGCAGGAGAAGGAGGAAGGGGGGGAAGAGAGGAAGGGAGGCCATGAAGAAGCTTGGAGGAGACCATACTGCGAAGAAGGGGAAAATTGGGGTGGCCAAGTCGATGATGGAGGAGGAGGGTAGGTTGAGTGAGAGAACGACAGTCGCAAGAAGGAACAGGAGGGGCGGAAGCTGAAGTGGCATGATGGGCAGGGGGGGGGAGAGAGACACGAAGAGTGTAGAGGCGAGTGATAGGGGAAAGCGTGAAGCGTGCAAGATGGCGGTTGCGATGATAGAGATCACAGTGGGAGTCACATTCTGGAAAGACAGCTCGCACACAAAGACGTTGAAGAGCAGAGAGAGAAAGAAGGTTGTGGCGGCAAGAAGGAACATAGAGGCCAGTCACAGCACCAGAGGGGGAGGCAGGACAGGGGAGAGAGGAGGTAGCAGTGCAAGTCATGGTCATGGTATCCCCAGCCCCTTGAATGGAGAGGGGATGGGGAAAAGAGCGAAGCACACCAGCGTCACGAAAAACAGAGTCAGTAGCACCACTGTCAAGAACAAACTCAAGCGTGCGAGGGAGGGAAAGAGCAGCAGCTGTGGGACCAAGATACTGAGAATCATTGCCATTAACAGAAGGAGCAAACATCATGGCAAAACGAGGGTCCATAAGGGGAGAAGCCCCCAGAATGCTATCCTGACTAGGCATAGTCACACTGAGAGCAGAGGTTTGAGTACTGGCACCAGAGTCGGCGGCCACAAGTACCGCCTGGGCAGAAGACTGGCGACGCTGACGAGAGAGTTGAAGCCAGTTGGGAGGGCGACCAGTGTTGCCAGCCAGGAACCAGTCATCGGTGAGTTTCTGGAAGCAGGAGGTGGCGGGATGATTGGTGCGACCGCAGGGCTGACCCTTGCGGGGCCCCTGACGAATGATGTAGGTGCAAGGAGGAAAGGTGTTGCGAGGGCGAGAGGAAGCGGCAGCGGCAGTGGTGGTGGGGAGAGGAGGGGGGGCGGAAGAGGGTGCGACAGCGGCGGCAGTAGGAGGGCAGCTGCGGAGGTTGAGCTCTGCCTGGAGGAGGAAGGCAGAGACACGAGAGAACGACCACTGGTCGGCGGGGCGCTCACCATACAGGGTGACATGAACACTGTATTCAGGAGTGAGGCCTGTGAGGAGGAGGGCACCGCAGACATGATCGGAAAGTTCGAACTTTTGAGCAGCAAGTTGGGAGGACAGCGTCTGCACACGAGCGATATAGTCCGCCATGGTGGTGAAGTCAGCAAGGCGAAGAGAAGTGAGCTCGCGTAAGAGGGCAATGACACTGATGGGAGTCTGCGACTGGAAGCGCTCAGTAAGATAGCCGAGAAGGTCCTTGGCATAGCGGATGTGCGAGCACTGAGGGAGAAGGGTTGGAGGTAGGCAGGCAAGGATGACCTGGCAGGCACGTGCGTTGGCAACATGCCAGTCAGCGAGAAGGTCAGAGTGAGATGGAGCAGAAGCAGAGGGCAGAGGGGCAGAGCGAGGAGAAGGGGTAGCGAGATGCTCAGAGAGGCGCTTGCGGGTGCTCTCGAGGGATTCAGAAAGAACACGAGCGAGGTCACGGGCAGCAGCATTGTCAGGAGCAGCCGCGGCAGTGGTTTGGGCCGTGGCCGCAATCCGCTCAGTTTCAGCGATAGCAGCACGAAGGCCATCAGCATAGGGATCGGAGGAGGTAGAGGTAGGTGTAGAGGCAGGTTTAGGAATGGCGCCAGAACCACTCTGCTGAGTGACAAACCAGAGGTTAAAGCCACTCACGAGGGTGCCAGACAGCGTGCGCTCAAGACAGTTCAGCCAACTGGGGAAGTTGACTGCGCTGCCATCAGGCGCGAGCTGAAGGACCAGCAGAGGGAGGGAGGGGAGGGCGAGAGAAGTCGCCATAAGGAGGAGGAGACAGCTGCAGAGCAGATGAGGGGAGAGGTATAAGAGGCGGAGGAATAAGGGGCGAAGCAGTCTGCTGCTGAGCCGCTGAGGGGAGAAAACAAGAGGAGGAGGGATATGGACGGAGTAGTCTGCTGCTGAGCCGCTGAGGGGAGAAACAAGAGGAGGAGGAATAGTGGGGGAGTAGTCTGCTGCTGCGCCGCTGAGGGGAGAAACTAGAGGAGGAGGGATAGTGGCGGAGTAGTCTGCTGCTGCGCCGCTGAGGGGAGAAACTAGAGGAGGAGGGATAGTGGCGATGTAGTCTGCTGCTGCGCCGCTGAGGGGAGAAACTAGAGGAGGAGGGATAGCGGCGAGGTAGTCTGCTGCTGGGCCGGTGAAGGGAGAAATAAGAGGAGGAGGGAGAGTTGTGAGGGAGTTCGCAGTTGAGCAGTTGAGGGGAGGGTAGTGAGGAGGAGGAAAGGTGGGGAGGAGTACCAACTTAAAAAAAAAAACGCAATCAACACCAGCTGCAGCAGAGGAGAGAAAAGAGGTGGAGGAAAACGGGTGAGATAGTGAGGGATGCACAAAGGAGAGAGGAAAGGAGGAGGAGGGTAAGGGAGGGAGGGCGGATTGTGAAAGGGCAGGGCGCGCTGCAGGGGAGGCAGGCGCGCGCGCTGCTCGACGAAGCGAAGCGCGCGCTGCGACGGCAGCACAATGCGCACGCGACGAGACGGGAGAAGGCGCGGAGCCGGGGGGGGGGGGGGGGGGGGGGGGGGGGGCTACAAGCAGAAATCGGCGCGCTACCGCCGGGAACGTGAAGAGGAAGAGGCGCGACGAAGAGGGAAGGCGCGGGGGAACGATATGAACGGGAGGGAGGCGCGCTACGGAGCGGAATTGAGTATCCGCGTGACTAAAGTGAAGAAAATCGCGAGGATACTAAGAGTGACTGTAAAGAAACGAGAAAATAAAAAAAAAAAGGAAAATCGTCTAGCTAAGTAGCGCGGAAATGGCCTAAGGGCCAGAAACTTTCTAAGAGATGCGGATAAAACGGAAACGCCTAGGACTAGGCTCTGAATACCATGTTAAAGTAAGGAAAGCCATGGATGGCGAGAGGCTTTGGTGAGGTTGAAGAAGTTGAACTAGGAGGAGAATGTCGAGATACAAAAGAGAGAGGGTTGGAAACCCTAATTGAACCTAGGGTGTGTTCGGTTTGTTCTAACAATTATGAAATGAACCTAAAATGAACCTGAGTGCGTAACTCGCTCTAAGCCCAGAGAAATAACAATATAAGAACACCAAAATAAAGGCCAGAGCGAGCTCTAGCCTACTCCAACACCTCTGGTTCTCCGCAGTCGTTCCAAATTTTTATGTCTTGTTTGACTACGGATCCTCTACCAGGTTGAAATCCCCCATTATTACTTTGGGCGGTGATGCGGGCAGCTTGTTCATGAAAGGGGAGAGACGGTCCTTGAAGGAAAAGCTGCGTGCGCTTGCCTGCGCTAGTAGATAAACCGCTATCATTCAGCACTCCAGCTCATTCCATTCCATCCATCTTCACACTCCCCGAGTCATGTTTAATCACCTCAGACATCCGGATATCAGGTGTGAAGGTCATCACCGCCACTCCTCTTGTTTTTTGGGACGGCGATAGGTCCGTAGGTCTTATATATGTCCAAAAAATTGTGGACCGCTCCTATCCTTGTAACCGCCAATACCAACACGTTTGCTGCTTTCCTTAACCATCTTAAGCACTTGTTCTTTTTCCCTGCGCTGCCCACTCCATTGACGTTGAGCGCGCTCAGCTTGAGTGTGTTGGATTTATTTATGTAACCACTGTCTGTAGACCCCACAGCATCCAGGGGTCGTAAGAATGAGTTGATAGCACCACACAGCATATCACAACAAATACCAATGCTAAAGCCACTGCTGCAGCTGATACCAATAGCTCAGACAGCTTTATTCCTAACACTCCTTCCACTCTAGTACACTGTCTTGCATCTCCCCTCCTCCAGCAGTTGATCATTTGAACAGTTCTCTAGTCTAGTACCATGGCCATCATGCCCTAGCGTGGTTTGAACGACGGCTCTGACGATCACTCGTCCCCTCATGCTTCAACCTCTCAAAATCCAGACACACAGGCCTCAACAATTTCAATTCTCCTGCCCAAAACAAAGTCCCTTATCCGACTGGCCTGACACCTTCACTGCCTCAGGGTGCTGGAAGGGCGCGTTCTGTCAATCCGCGCCCGCCAGCTGGTCGCACCAGGCCGGATACGAGAACGAGACCCACCAC